GACCAAGATAATGTAATTTTGCACTAATTTTTCAATAACTGGAAATACATCTGTACATCTCACTATCGCTATATTTATTTAAAAAATGTGAACCTATGCAAAATTCTAAGCTTCACTCTTCTTCACCTATGCTCCACTGTTTACAAATTTCTTAAAACATTTTTATGGTTTTCCGACATTCAACCAGGAACGGTTAATTCTGCGAATAGAATTCAAGTACATGTATTTTGGTATAAAATTTAGAAGAAAACTCTCTGCGACGTCAAATAACTATTTTTTCAAAGTTAAAGCTCCTCAAAGCTCTGCTAATGTAGAGGAACTGTAGTCCATCCATGAAAAAGTTCCCGTCCAATCTCTTAAGTTCGGAAAACTCTGAGGAAACGTTTTAGAAAATATGTGATTTATTTTTTATATATTCAGAAGAATCACTGTTGAAACTTATGAAACAGTATATGAAAATACATATTTAATAATTTCTTGTTTTTACGATTCTTTGGTTTTAATGTCCCACCGCGAATTCATGGCCAACCTAATAGGTCCAAAATCTTGTTTTCTGACTTACAGACATTCGAATATTTTTATGTGTCGCTCTATGCTGCAAATGATATGTTATTTCCACACATTAGAAATCATATATATATATATGAAGGACACTTTTATAAAAATAATAATTACTAATTTCTTTCTGTTCTAAAGTTATTTAATGCAATGGAATAGTTTTCAAATGATTTTATACTTTGTAGCTTATTGTCTGTGTATTCGCTTTAGTTATTAGTATCCTCGTGGTGAACAAAAACCAACGTACGAGATAACAAAGTGGAAAGTATACTTAGAACAAACCCCGGAAATATGAACTCAAGAACTACAATCGGCCGTGAAAGCTTATGAGCTGACAAGGTTATCTACATGGAAAAATTATAAACTATAAACAATAAAGTTGAGCAAAGTATACATTTCATGTTACTCGGAAATGGGTAATCATTTTTATGCATGTGCTGCTTCTATAAGTAAATATGTCAAAGACCTGAATATTTACATAAGTTGAGCTTTCATTAAACATATTACACTTGTGTTCCACAAACTAAGTAACTAAATAAAGGTTAATAGATGTTATTAGACGCCTACAAAGTTTAGCAATTTTGCGACGTAGATTTTAACAGAAGTAATAGTGGTAGTTACGTTTACGCTGGTTGACATATGCAACAGAAATAAATTTATATTACCATTGGCGTACGCTATGGGGAGGTCAGACGCCTTCTCCCTTGACAAAAATTCACATCTATACCTTATTCTGTTTCTATTTTGATTGCCATATTTAATTTTGTGGTATTAACTAATCTCTCTCTATAAAGCAAAAGGTTGATGTACTAGGTAGTATAGTAGAGATAGTAGACAATCTAATAATATGTTCAAGTTAAAACTGTTCTTGGGTTTCATTAAGCGTAAATGAAAAAGAGAACAAAACACAGGTAAATCTAAATTATAAGAACTTACTTCAAAAGTACATAATCTAATACTACACTACGTACCCCCTCTAATGTAATACTCTTTAGTCATTATCGAATCCAGGCAAATGTTACGTTACGCGTTGGCGTAAGTTTTGGTATCTTGAAAGCTACCTACCCCTTATGCAGGAGCCTAAAATACTCTTAAATTTTGCCACCCTATGTTAAATGACGCCTCATTTTAAAGCTTTTTCAATTCTGCTCACGACGACACACGACTTTTTAAATTTTGATTTGGATATGACAATAAAATGACAAAATATCAATGAATGAAAGAATTTTATTTTACTAAATATTCAAATTGGTTTCCCTTTGCTTCCATACAATAATAAAATCTTTGCACCACTTCCGAACGAACATTTCGAAGTATTTCGGGCGTTACCTGACGATTGGACAGAAAAATGCAGAAAATATTAAGTTAAGTTTCAGTGGTTTTTCTTTATTTTCCAAAAGAGGCATCCTAAATATAGCAGATTACAAATAACATAAAAAACATTGATACGTGAATTCAAATTTGTTATTTAATTATAACAGAAATATTTAAAGGAACCAACATTCTAAAAATATATTTCTAATTTTAAACGCTTTTTAGCATTTCTTAATATCAATAAAAATTTTCTGTTAAGTTTTAATAAAGTTAAATTTAAGAGGAGATATTATTGGTAGATATTTCAAATCGCTCAAGAAACGAATTAAATATCACACTACTTTATTAATTGTACGTGTTAACCTATTTACTCTACTCTAAGTAATTACTTTAATATCTCTAATTAAAAAACGGTACATAGTTATGTAAATTATACATAATTTGATTAAGAAACACTATAGCAATAAATTTCAATTGCAAATGTAGTTAATTTATTTTGATAATAATCTGACTAAGATTTACTGAATACAGATGAAATATTCTATATGACCCCCAAAGAATACTTACGTCTATTTTTATACTCCCTATGAGTAATAGGTAATATTTATATTTCTAATCATTTCATATTTAACAAACTGTGAAGGCAACTCGTTGAATAATTAAATAAATACTAATAAGGATAAAATTTGGAAACGCAAAAATTTAATTTTTCGCATCAGTACGAAGAAATAATTAATACAACGTAATCAAAAATTAGCACGCAGTTAAGAATTTTTTTGTCAGCTTTGTAGTACTTTTCTATTTTATAATATTAGCCCAATTACTGTAGCTGAAAATATAGTAATACCTCCGAATTTTTTATAACTGCATCGATTCACTTCAAAACTTATAAGTATATGCGCTAGATGTGATTTTTGTTCTTAAGGGGTGAAAACCACCCCTTATTGGAAAAAAAAAGAAAAAATACGAATTTAAGCATTTTATGTAATCAAATCTTTTTTATTTATGCAGTATGAGTAATTTCATGTGCTATCTAACATGAAACTTAATGTATCCCGAATTTTTAACCCGGAAAAACCACCCCTTATTGGATGAAAATAATATAAAATTTTGTTTTCAACTTGAAACGTTTTAATCATGCATTTTTATCAAATTAAAATTGATTTCTTGATTAAAAAATATTTTTTTATCGATTGCAACTTTTCAACCCTTGAAAATATCCCTTCTTTCGAAAATAAAATGAAAAAATATTATTGAAAGACTAGAAACATTTTAAATGTGCATTCGTATTAAATACACATTTATTCCCTTCTTATAAAATAATTTTGAATTGATTGCAACTTTTCAACCCTTAAAAATTGCCCCTTACATTTATTTATATATTTACATATATTCCTAAATCCTAAAATTATCACCTATACACGTGTTTATTTTTTTGACGATAATTTTCTTACTTTTTAAGATTTTTAATCACACAAAGGCTCATTTTGCAGGGAATTGTAAGGGCTACGTAAACTGTTGAGTTGATCTTTTTTAAGCCCTTCATTTTTAAGTTTGAAGGGTTTAAAGTGCTCGAAAAGGACGGTTCTCTCATTCATATGATAACTTAAAATGGCGATATCTCTATTAATATTAATTCTAGAGGAATAATGAAAAAAGCAAAATTTTCAGCAAAGATAAAGCAAAATTTTTTTACACTTGTATTTTTTTCGTACACACTTTAATTTTTAAGTTACAGGGTAAAAGTCGATTTTTTTCAAGAATTTTAAAAATTAACATTTTCAAAAATTAAGTTTTTTTTCGAAATCATGCTTTGTAAGTGAGCCAAAGACCCAGAACATATTCTTAGAACATAAATGAAGAAACCTGTAAATGGATTGCATTTAATTTTAATTCTGTCGCCAAAGGCACTGATTTGTTTATTAATTTTTTCTTAAAAAAATAAGACTACCATGTTATTTCGATCATATTTCCGTTAATTTTGATTTTAAAGACTTTTAAAACAGCTCATTTTAAAGTTTTTTCAAAGTACTTTAGAAAAGGTTCAAATAGTTTTTTCCTAATATTTATGGATTTGGCGTTATTTAACGTTAACTGGTTCCAATTTAATAATGTTTAAAAATCCATAACTCGGTTTATATTGCAATTAGAAAAAAACAAAATACCATTAGATTTGTTTTTTATTACCTTTCTTTTTGTTCATTACAACTTTTCCTTAAATCCAATGGTTTCAGAGTTATTTGTAAAAAGCTCTCTGAAAACAAGCACTTTTTCAGTAAAAAATCAACATTTTCAATGACGAATTACTCGAAAAGTATTGGATTATCCAAAAAACTTTATATAACATTTGTTACTTAAAATTAACTCCTCTATCGATTCATGTAGTTATTTTGGGCGTAAAAATTTCCACCCCCAAGAAGGGGTGGGAAACACTCCCAGGGCAAAAGCACACTTCGGCACTATATAAGTTTTGTTCCTTGAGGTATTCCCCACATTCAGTCAAAATTTAACGTCAATCAGTTCTGTTATAAAGGTAAAAACCCTGAGTAACTAGACTATCTATTCTTGGAGAAGATGCTAATATGCATATTCAGACAAACTGATTATATTTAAATGAGAGTAAACAAATTGAATTAATATAGAACATGCAAAATATAATCAGGTCATCAAGAATTATTCGTGTATTGTCGATGCGTGTGAACAGATCGGAAGCGTATCAACTGCAATGCAATAAAATGCAATAAAATATGCAAAAGTACAATTATTATTGATGGTAATTTAGCGCTGATGTAGGCCTTACCAATCATTTTACTAAGTTTTATAAACTTATTTCAGATTCCCAAAGCAGTACAATTCAATCCACATCTGTCTTGTATTGGGAATTATAATAAAATCCAAGCAGAAATGTCAATCTTTTCCATCCGAATGCGTTTTTAATTTAGCACAGGTGTCGCTTTGCACTTAGAACTTTACCTATAAGTATTTAATTAACTGTAGTTAAAAATTGTGTTTAATTATAAATGAGTCTCCTTTTATACTGTAAAAGTATTTTATTGTAAAACCTACACAACAACAGTTTACGATCTGATGTCGACTTTTTGAATCTCACGGAATGTTTCTTTTTGCAGGTTTTGATATTTCTCCTAGCTCTGTTTACGTTAAGTAAATGTGAGGAGGCGAGTAACCCAAGACGGGCAAGAGGATCATTTCAAACGAGTTACCCTTTAGGAAATAATCTTCAGATAGGTGGTGTAGATGTCGAATCATATGGAAAAGGTGTAGGCGTTCCCTTACGAAACACCGACCTCTACGCCCCTGGAGTAGGTAAATATCGAACGAAAAAGTTAATCTTTGCATGCGAAAATTATTAATAATTATATCCATACATTCAACAATTATCATAGTTTCCTTGAATTTTTTAAGGTTTTTCAAAATGATGTACCTACAGGGTGATTCACTATATTTTGAACACCCCCCCCCCCAATAACTTTTTTGTTTTAAGAGTTATAAAAAATTCTGGATTACAAAAGTTGCACGATTTTTTATGAAGTGTTTTTTTATTAAGAAAATAAAATCTTGTAATTGTCAGACCTCTTTAAGGCATTTAAGCCTTTTTTCCAATTACGTAAGGATTTAGATTTAGTTGCAATATATTTTACATCACACAAAAAAGATAAAGACTAACGTTTTAGGAAATTTTCTGACAATTTCAAAGAAATATATATAAAACAGTTATTGTATTTAAGACTTGTGTTTTTTAAATATAACGTCCTGTATATTGTTGCTTGTTGCAATGATCTCCTTTCTATAATTATGGTGATATACATAATTTTGGTTTATTTATTGACTTTCGACAGATAAAATCAAGATTGCCATTGGACTACTGCATATTTATTGTTTTCGGGAACTAAATTTATTTAACAAATCTTTTAACATCTTATTAACAAAAAATACTGTAACATAAAAGGTTTTTTTATAATAATCGTATCGTAGACAAGAGACAATTTCTTAATTAAGTTTTTCATATGCACCCCACCACGAACTAATTTAATTTCCATACAGTTCTTTCCATGGGGGATTCTGGAGGATAAAATAAACAGAATGATTTCATAAATTCTATGAGATAAGGTGGAGAATATTGAACGAAGTTAGTACTATCAATAAGGTGGACATTACAAAAAAAAAAATAAAAGATATTTTTTGTTTACAGAGAATTTAAATATTTATTAAGTAATTTTAACAGAAGAAAACACACCCTCGCACTGGTTCCGTGGCAATCTTGACTGTGTACAGAATTAGTAAATAAACCAAAATACCTTGTAAACTATCAAAGCAAATACATGACATGTATATATTCCTGTAATCAGAAAAAGGAGAGGAATCCGAGAAACTACGAATGTATAGATTCTTTCTCCAAAACGCAACGTTCAATTGTATTATATATTTATTCAAGCTCGCAAGAATATTACCAAGAATAATTTTTCCTAGCAGAAAGACAATAAAAGATAAGGGGGAGTAGACTGTTATATGAATACCCCTGTACATTTGGTAACATGACATGTGCACTACTGCTAGCTTGGTAGCAGCAAACTTCGTTGTTTACGATTCCGCTGTACACATGTTACTTTTAATCTTTCTAAAATATACTCTCAGTAGCTTTCTTTCCTATACTTTTTTATGAACTAGCAATTTTATTAGACCGTATGGTATTAGAATCACGTATAGTTTTCGAGAGGATGTATTCATTTTAACTAGATCTACTTCTCTTCGATTTAATCTATTTTTTCATTTTATACAGGTTTTCCTTTTTGTTGTACTAGATTGGTGTATATGTATATACACTTACCTCATAGCCATACGCTTCGATTTACATTACAAGAACAATTTTTTGCCATGAATTTTCTTATATGTATTAGGCAAAGTTGGTATGATTCACAGATCTAAAGACTGCCTTCCAAATTACATTCTTTAAACATATAACAAAATCCATAACCCTTTACCCGTGTATCTAGATAATCATTATTCGCTATTAAAATTGCTAATCATAAAAAATACATTTTGTTAATGCCGTTCGACAGTACGCGGTTGCAGTTAATTTTACTTTTCTCTGCAGATGATGTTCTCCCAATACAACACTACAAACAATCCGACATCGACCTGAATGTAGATCTAACAGGCGCGCGACATCGCGGGCCTCAATTACATGAAATCGCATCCTTAAATTATATTGTGTCCAATTCTATCGACAAACCCGTTCAAGAAGCTCAAGACAATGTGCCACCACAGTCACTTGCTACCGCCATCATTCCTCCGGTACCACCACCAGCTATACCAATAAATGCAGTGGCCGCCAATGTTCCAGCAGAGAGAGGAGCAGTATTTCTAGGATCCGGTTCCTTGGGGGTTATTGACTTAGGAGGAGGTATGTTTATTATTTAATAAAATGTCGTTAAAGTAGTTGGAATTGCTTACAGAAATTTGTTATCTGTATTTTGACATCGATTTCCTTAATTGTAAAACACCTAGTGCAACTTCCACAAGATTATGGCAAAGTAGATCACTATACTACTATTATAAATGGATTTTGCCAAAAGATAAGGCATAAATCATTGTTTCTTTAAGCACTCTGATAACAATGTCATTAAGCAACTCTCGTTACTTAATGATTTTCTTTCATACGTTCATAAATATTCTTAGAAGCAAGTTTCCGAATATGGAAAATTAATAATATTTGTAATTTATAAGTTATGTTGTTTGAAAAATTCTTGAACTGATCCGTCAGCGCTTCCTAAAACTTCCCAAAAAGCTGCATCTTGGAATTCATGAAGTAAACAGTTTTAGCTTACTTTCACTGTTATTATAAAAAAAATTCTTTTGTAATTAAATTTCAGGCGCCTATGCATTGGGATCAGGATCCATAGGATATTCAAGGGTGAGGGCTAATCCCAGATCTTCTTTCAAAGCACCGCTTCTTCCACCAGTTCAGGCAGCCCCAAATTTACTTCCAGCAGCTGTTCCTAGCCCTGAACCGCCACAGCCACCTGTATTTGATTTCAATCATCCGTTGTTAGGTAGGAACTATATTTCAATAGCAAGTAGAAATCATACCTAGGAAAAATGTGACTGAATAAAGGTAGTCTTACCAACTCACAGTAAACAAAACATAAGGCTTTTTTTCGCGACTGAATATTGGATTCACCAATATTCTCTGACTTGTGGTCACTATGTCTATCTCTTTTGATCTTAGTTGTCATATGGTAGTTTAAATCTCTTCACTCTCTCATAATACACATACCACAACATACGACTTCACTCGCGAAAAAAAGACTATAAACATATAAAAGAGGATCTACTTTCTGCATATTCGAATCAGTAATACTCGGACTTATAGTTAATAATACAGCTTGATAATTTGAAAACAATGCAAGTACAACAAGAGTTCTGCCAAGAGTTATTATTATATTGATTTGAGTGTTAGATGTGTGTGATTCAATACAATATGACCATGTTATACTAAATTGGTGATAAACTGATAGTAAAGTGTGACTTTAGTCCAATCTAACAATAAATATGTACAAATAGGACATTTAAAATGCCGTTATTTTAATATTAATGAAAATTATAATTTTTTTGTGCCGAGTTTAAGTAAATAATTGAATAATTGATACACAGCCACACAAAAAAAAAGTTGTCTGTACTTTTAATGCGACATGTGTTATCCGTAGTATTTTTGCCTCCTGATCACGAATCCGGTGTCAGAATTGAGCTATCACATCATAGGAATTTCCTAAACTCAAAAAACAGGTCAAAAATTGCAAAAATTCACGAAAAAGTGCTAGGAAAAATTTAAAAAAATTGTTTCTATATTCAAATGTTCATTTATATGGTTAAAACCCCGTCGAACGTGAATCCGCGATCAAAATTGATGGTTCTAGTTTATATTGCAAAAGATCCATGGTGATCCCTAGAAATATGGTTTTAGTACAATGTAATCATTATAAGTTTGAAAAATCATTAGCTTAGAAACTTTATGTTTTTCCTATTTCCTTTACTACGTCCAACTCGAATATGAACTAGTTTTTCGAAAGGAAAGAAGTAAATCTATCAGTAGTACACGTTTTGTTATTGAAACACCTTCAGTAATAGTATTAACTCACACAATTCTTCGCTGTCGAATATAGCCCTATTATGGTTCATTCCAGTAACTGCAATGAGCTCATTTAACATTTTTTTCATATAAATGTATGAAAGCCATGTTTTGACATCATAACACTCGTTGATAGCTACTTCACTTGGTTGAGTCCCACATGCATCATATGAAAGCTATGGAAGCTCTAGCTATGGTAGCAGATGAATTGAAACAAATTCAAACTAACAAACCTAGTAAAAAAATTGCGTTATTACAAATTTCCATAACCAGGAAAGATTAATTTTTCGAAACATTAACTATAATTGTTGAAACTGGTGTAAGAATGGAATAACAATTATTCAGGAGAGGAGAAATTTTTTAAATTAGTAGGTATTTATAACATTCGCATATAGTAATTATATGACCAAAAACTCATTAATGATTTATTATGATCTATTTATTATGCAAGAATGAAAAATGTGCATATGTTATTATTTATCTTTTTATTTTTAAATTTACCCACGTGGAGACGTGGAAAAGTAGCATTCAAAACGTTTTTCCGTACACAAAATTATTAGATTTCCAAAAACAATAGTATACAATATACAAACAAATAGTTATTAGAACAAACACCAATCACAAGAACTCAACGGTTATATGGTGTAAAAAAGAAATAAAAAACATTAAAATTTTGTTCCATTCTTGTCTATAGCCCGTTACTATTAAGACCATCTGCACCTACAACTGCGTTTTTCAAATAAGTAGACCTATTCCCTTTTTGCACCAGAATCTTCAGTTGAAGTGCGTGATATAGTGCTGCATATTTTTTATTGGTCTGGTTATTTCAGAATGTGATTTTGGGTTAGGCAAAAAAATATTATTAAAAATATCACTTGACTCCTTTTCCGCAAAGGTTTCTTTAACATTTTTTATATTTTTTTAACATGCGAAAAAGTCCCAATAAATAGTAAAAAACCTAATCCCACTCAGCAACACTCTCACGAACTGCTTCAATCTTTTGTGTTGAACGACTTATTGAAGGACGGCTAAAGTGTTTAAGATCTCTAATTGATCCAGCCTCCCTGAATTCTGCCAAGCCAAGCCTGCCTGCCTGAATATGTAAAGACAAGCAATAATTTAAATATTATTAAACGATCTCGTTGCGTTGTTAGCGTTGTTACTAATTATTGTTTAATTTAACCATTGAAACTCATAACATTCTATTACTTTAGGAGGCCGACCACCAGTTGACGAAAATGGTTATGAATATCTTCCACCCAGTAGTGTTAGTTTTGGAGATCCTCTACCACCTAGACCCCTCAAGACCACTATGGCATTTGCTACACCATCAAATTTACTAGTGCAGTCCCAAGTTCCAAATTATCAACAGACAGTTCCTCAAGTTTATGGGCAAAGAATTAATACTGTGTATGCTGATACATTTTACCACTGATATTGTCCTAAAAAATTTTCAAAGTGCATAAAGGTATTGCTCGGTTAAAAATTCACATGTAATAACGGTTTATATTTAAATTAATTTTATTATAACTGAAGATTAACTGTGAAATATGTAAATAGGGATGTACTCAGAGAACAGTATATTCACACAATTTATTTTTTTATATTATCAAAGTGCTGCAATTAAGAATGCAGCTACTGATAGCTTATCAATTTTGACATGGTATTGTAAGCCGATTATTATTATCTTGGAAGCAAATGTGGATGAACTGAAATTTAGTAAAAGTTCCGAAATTATTAAAACCAAAAATATTTTAAAAACGTAGTAGTTAACCGAGTGCTAAATTATGAGTATGAGGAAGTTTATGTTAACTGATAATATATTTCGCTAAGTCACAGGCTTGATTAGGCTTGTTAGAAAATAAGAGTCTAAATTAGGAACTACGTATAGCTTTATACATCAATATTATTTTGGTAATTTTAAAATATAATAAAATAGAAATGAAAATTGTATTTAGTAATGCAGACAGTATTGTGTTAGATCTATTCCAACGGTTTATATTAAATATCATGTAAAATACAATAGTTGTACATACTACCTTTATACATAAAACAGTATTCTCTTCTAGAAAGACATAATACATTAAATATGTAGATAGATTTATTTATTATATTTTTGTTTTTCATAAAAATTATGTTTTGTAGTTTGTATTGAAGAATTCTGTATATATACCTACTATTATAAGCAAATGTGATGGATTTTGTAACCTACAACATAAAAGTAATGTAATTTAATAAACAAAATCATGTTTTTAAACCGTTATTTATATTTGACACTGATTGTCACTGCTGACTGGTACGAAACCTCTCCAAAAACACTGCCTGTACTTAGGGGCAAACATTTTCTGTGGAAAATATCATTTTCACAAAATAACATTTGTTCAAAATATTTTAACTAATCCTATGATTGCGATGTCCTAGCCCTTTTGTGGCTGTTTACACTTTTTCCACAAAAAGTAATAGCACATATAAAAAATATACAATTTTTATTCATAGTAACTTTCTGACGCACCAATTTATGTCATTCAGAAGACCACTCTACTAATATTAAAAATGTAATAACCTAGATTTATTGGACATAGTTTTACGATCTTTTGAAAATAAAATTGCAGCGCAAATTAATGTTTAATCAAATAGGACTAAATCTTAGATTTGCAAATCATTTTACTTATCCAGAAACAGTACACAGTTAAAATGATATTACTACGTTTTTACTACGTTTATATACAGGGGCATATGGATAATCCAAAACTGTCGCTTGACGGCACACCAATGTATGTTTAAAAAAAACTCAACAGAAATTCAGCTAACATCCAATAGAAAATGTATTAAATAGAAACAGTTTATATACATATATTAAAAAGTGACTTCTATACGAGTCAAGAAATATAATATTAAAAAAATAAATTTTCTTATATGTGGAATAAAAAATAATTACATTATTTAGCAAAAAGAAACATAACCCATTAACCTTCTCCTTCTTCTTATACCTGTGATTGCTTCTGTTCAAGTTCACTGCGGCGTTATAAGGCCTATTGTGCGTCCCACTGTTCTGTCCTATTCAGCAAGTAGTTTTGTCCTTTTTACACAGTCCAATAGCTTGCTTGCCAACACTTCTCTCAGCTCCTTGGATTTCAGAAAGGGTTTTCCCAGGAACGTCATTCTATGAGCAAATCCTGGACGCCCGCCCAGGATATGCAGAGAAGTTGCATCCCCAAGTCACATTCTTGCAGATGTGACTAACTAAAAGCCTTAGATTGTATAAATATTTCCTAAAGTGGCAGTGTCCCTTTATAAGTCCCGTCACTTTCCTGGGATGAATTTTGTTGAAGCTCGGCAACACATTTGTTCTTTTCTACAAATGATACTCCATAAATTCCTTCTCATAGCTTTGCTTTGGCCTTGAAGACCAGTACTTTCTATGTTTCGATTCAGTCTATTATCCAGAACCCCTTGACCTCACTGGGACATATGCCAGACAGGCGCTCTGGACAAATGAACTCTATTTCGGATTCCTTCCTAGCAAATTCATCAGCTTTCTCATTTTCGTCAATGCATTTGTGTCTAGGCACCCAACACAGTATGTGTAAACCATTTGAGTTAACATTTGTAAACATTCTCACACAAGTTTTAAACTTACCTTGTGCGTGTCTAAAGCCTTAATTGCTACTTGACTGCCAGAGAATAAGTATATGAGTTTATGTTTACGTAGCTACATTCTCAGGTAAACACGCCAATATCGCGAAAATTTCTGCTTGAAATACAGTGGAAAAACTCCCCAGACTGTCGCTTGCACTCCAACTGAGTCTGAGTTCATATATTCCTGCTCCCGTCCCTCTGGCCATTTTGGAGCCGTCCATAAACCATACCAAGCTCCATCTTTCCAGGGTATCAAACTTTTCCTCCCATTGGCTTTGATTCTCTACTCAAGTCTCAAATGGCTTGTGGAAGTGAAACCTTGGAACCATCTTTGCTCAGAGTTGATTCCGACATAGGTGTTTCCATAATCCTACAGGGACTTCCTCTCCAATCGTTATTGTTCCTGAGCCGGTATTTTCTCTTTCCACCGGTATATGAAGTGATGGTGGATTTAGCATGACTTCTAACGCAACTGTCGGGGTCGATGATATCGCCCCCGTTATACTCAAGCCACCAGTCTCTGGAGTTTATTCAGTTTTTCCCTCGCTATGGTCTTTTGTGTTTTTGCTGCTATACCACAGTACTATAAAAAGTCCTAGGTCTTACTATCGATTTATACGAGTACATCCAATATGACATTCTTGGCTTCAGTCCCCAGGTTCTAAATATAAGATGACGACATACACACACGATATCTGCTTTGGCTTACACCCATTAATCTTATCTTCAATAAGAAAAAAAATAAATTATAAGAAGAACTATTAATTAATAATCTCAATCTCAGCGTTGATGTAAAACTAATGCATGCTTGCAAAGGAGCAAATGTGAAATGAAAATCTGGATGCAATTCATCTGTTCGGATCCTATACCGAATGCTTTTATCATGAATGCAGTTAGGCAAAGTGACATGTTTGATCGCAGAGAAGAAAAAAAGCAGAAGAGGTCTAAATAGGTAAAAATTTGGCTGAAGAAGAGTATCCTTATACAAATTTTTTAAATAAATTTCTGGTAAAATGAAGAATAATAAGGAAAGTTATCACTAACCATGAAAGGTTGCAAATATTTTGGTAACTTTTAGGCAAAATCTGCTAGTAGCCGGTAAGTCTCTTCAATTGTCATCTTGACGCTGAACATTTCCCTGCACTAACTGAAATATGTCAGTCCAGTCCAAATGCTTATTTGAAACTGACGCACTGAATCAATTACACACGAACAAGTAAAATGCGCTACTTGACAGAGGCATCACTTTTGTGACACCGGTGACCATCTCTGATCGCGATCAATGACTCTTCTAGTAAAAGTAACAGTTTTGTATCAAATGTTTTATTCGCTGCGATACAGTCGAATTGACAAATTCTCGATTCCCAACCTATATTATTCATTTGAAACAAAACATCAAAACCCTCAAATATGTAAATTAAAAATTTCTGCTTAATTTTGACACTTTACATTGTATTTTAAATGACATTTTAACAAAAAATTCTCATAAACTGTTTTTGTAGAACGAACAGTTTTAGAATTATTATCGATTTAAGCTCACTTTAATATAACAATAAAAATAGAAGTCAAACCAGTCTTCTACTGGCCATCTGTTGGACTTTTCCTGTAGAGATGAATCTGCTCCCTTTCTCTGCAATAAACTGAACACATCGACAATACATTGTGAATATAAGGCAGACATGCTACCTGCTGATCTTCTTCCAGTTTCTCACATTCTTTTAGTGGACGTCTAGTGTTGATGACTTCATATAACCATTTGCCCCTAAAACCGAAACGTTTCAGTTCAGAATCTAATGCTCTGAGTCCGATATGGCCCAAACTCTGTTGACTAATGTTTTGTTTATATCCCTTTTTTGTGCCGGTTAGGGTTCGATTTTGCTTGTCTATTATCATGAAAGGATTTCCTATGATATGACACCATGAACCAGTTGCCGCTGATTTATAATTACCAAGACATCTGTGAAAGTCAATTGTCCCCTCTTTTCTTCTTCTGTAGTGATCTGAACGTTTGATAGACAGCCGTTCAAATGGTTTAGGAAACTGTTAAGGTTGCCCTTACTATGTGGCCATGTAATAAAAGTATCATCCACATATCAGTGTCAATTTGATAGTTTGTTTCCAATGCTGTTCTTTCAAAATGTTCCATGAAAATAATTTGCTTCAACCGGACTCAGGGAACTCCATAACTCCATATCAATACCATTGGTACATTCATAGTAATCTCTTCCACAAGAAGAGCATGTCGTTAAGCAACACAAGTACCTGCAACTGAAACAAATAAAAGTAAAAGTAAGTTCCAATGTATATTTTCTTGATTCATTGGTAAACAAAGACTCCATGTCGAAGCTGACCAAGATATCTGAGTCATTTATGGTTAGACTCTGTAAAATATCCACGAAACGTCTTGAATTCATTATAGAATGCACTGAGCTGCCTATGTATGGTCGCACCAAACACCACAGTGTTTTGCCAGTGTATACAGGGTGTTTTTGAATGGAGTAGCATAAATGATACCAGTGAATCTACATTTCAAAAGAACACGATCTGCAAAAAATCGCCTTAGTAAAATGTTCACTCCTGAAGAGATATGGGCCATCAGTTTCCAAAAAAATTATGAAAATTGGCTGTAATTTGAAAACCGAACGAGGTACAAATAAAAAGTTTTTTACAGGTTGTTTACTAATACAGACTATTTTTCGAAAATTTTAACCCCTCGAAAGGGGTTGAAATAACCACCCCTCAAGCCATTTTTTGCCATAACTTTTATATTTCGTAAAAACTCGATATCCAAAAATACGCATTAGATAAACTGGTTCTTTTAGAAACTTTTACCTCTCTAGCAATTTTCCTTTAAAACTTNCTGCCCAAATGTTTAAACTAAAATTATGTTGAAATGTTGTCATAGATACTTCGTGAGGATTTTCATGAGCCCAGGAATGAAGATTGTGCATATTGGTTAAACCATGTCTTTGAAAAGTTGCTTCATCTGTGAAAAGTATCTTTGAGGCAAAATTCAAATTATTTCTTAGAATATTAAGATACGATTCGCAAAAAACAACTCGCTTATGCATGTCTGGTTCAAGTAGAGCTTGAACTGGCCGGTGGTGAAAAGGATATAATAAATTATCATGGACAATATTCCAAACAACACTATGGGACACATTTAAGTGCATTGCTGTTTTTCTCGTACTAGTCTGACGATTTACGTCAAACTCTTCAAGTACTGCATCCTCAAGATAAATAGTACGAACAGTAGGTCTTCGGCCGGTACCCTCAATATGCGAGGAGTGGTTCCGGCCAACAATAAGAATCGAAAAAATGAACCTCTGGGCATGTCTAGGGGTTCTGATAGATCCGCCCCCACGGAACATAGTCAAAAAACAATAAGGGCAGATCAATGATTTAGATCGGGCTCAGGAAAAGCAATTATGTCGAACTTTAAAACCACTACTACTAATAAATCTCAAAGTTTCATACATTTTCTACAAATATTTCTACATGCTGCAGCTTTTGCCATCACATTACTGTTGAAAATATTAAAAATGCTTTTATAAATATTTAAAAATTACCTGAGAGTACTGCAAAAAAAATATACA